ATTTGAGAAATTCCTTCGGATATCGATTCTACTCATCCATACCTTTCTATTGATATATAATATGACATGGTTATTTATAAAATAAAAGATTTGATTTTCAAAATTTTCCCGATAAAAGTGGTCACTACGGCCAGACCCGATAGTATCTGGACATATGAAGTATATCACTCGACTACCTATTGAGTGTACTTTCATTTTATAACAATGATTCCAAAGTCCTCGCTATCCCACGAATGGGCATCATCTTTTATATATACGAATAAATTATTATTAATTACTTATTTGTAATTAATTATTTAAACATTTAAAAATTATGTTAAACAAAAATTTATACAAATAATAAAATAGCAATTATTTTATAATGATTATTAAAATTTTGAACATTATTATTAAAATTAATTGCATTTCTTAATTTATATATCATATAGCATCATTTTGGCATAGATTATATTAGTTATAACTTAAATTAATGTAAGACTATAATAAAAACGTTTTAATAAACATGATAATAACTTTACTACATATGAAAGCATACTGTATATGGTAATAACAAACCTTTGAACTAAAATATAAAAATATAAAGTATACTATTTATTGCATAAAGCTTTAACGATAATAATAGTATTATTTAATTTATATTATTGTGAATATTTATCAGCAAATCTACTTCAAACAAGTATTGCACATTTTATTATTGCACATAGTATTTGTACAGTGTGAGTAAACTTAATGTATACCAAATAGACTTAATTAAAATAAAATAGTAAGTAGGATCATGGCACCTAGAATCAACCAAGCTGGTCTCGATTTGATCAAAACATCCGAGGGATTCCGGTCACAAATATATGATGACTTGACTGTATGTTATTTACGGTTATAATTATTTATAACTATAATTTTATTTATTGCTAAATTAATTTTATAATTAAATTTAAAATTATTATTACTGCTCTAATGTAATATTATAATTCTAGGGCAAAGTAATAGCACCTGGCGATAAAATACAAGGTAAACCTACGGTAGGGTACGGACATAATTGCAACGCTAAGGGTTACGAGGGTATCGAACTATTAGAGGTAATCAGCCGCGAACGTGGTGAACAACTATTGCTAAAGGATCTGGTTGGGTTTGAGGACTATGTTTATGGTCAAGTGCCATTTGTCAACGATAATCAATTCGCAGCCGTAAGTGTTTTATTTTTAAACAATTAGAGAGAGAGAGAGAGAGAGAGAGA